AGTCATGATCGTAACCATGATCTCAAAAGAAGCGACAATAAAGCAAACTAGAGTTTATCTATATCCATCTTGTTTCCAACTTCTTAGCTGAAGAGCGATAACTTCTCAAAGACGCACTTTACAAGGTTCTACGGAATCTAAGAATCTACTTCCGATATCACAGGAAAAATATATCTCATGTTGATCAGGATTACCTGAAAGACCGACCGCTTTGTATTGTTTACAATGCAATGAACAGTTTCTCAGTGTAGCCAATAACATGATTTCTAAGTCTCTTTAATAAATATAACTTGAATTTCTTTGGTTAATATCGTTACTAACAACTTTTGAAACACGCATACCTTGATAGATGTCGATTAAAATAACTTTAAATGTAAGTTAAACTATCGTGAAAAACAAGCAAGGCAGTATCACGGAATATGCTAATATTTTATCCCCAAGTAAAGCTATCTGAAATTCCTAACATGCAATTAACTCAGGAAACTCACATATATAAGCGGAGGGGTTAAACTAAGATTTTAAAGGAAATACAGAGGACAGTCGAAGAGTGTCAACGTAGCGTGGAGTTATCAACAGAAGAAGGTTAGCTGAATCTTTTTAAGGGTGATATTATTGTATAAATAACGATCACTGCACGTTAAGCTTAGTTGTATACAATACTGACGCTATGCGCAAGTTTATCTGAGCTTTTTTTTGTTTTTGTTTGTTTCTCTTGTTCTTTCTTTCTTTCTTCTCTAGCACTGTAACACAAATATGTGGATCTTTTATTTCTTGCTGGTCATTGGTGCAACTCAAGAAGGTAAACGAAAAACATTAACAATGATTCCTAAGACAAAAAATTAACGAACTTGCATACTACATGTAGTCACTATCAATATTTCCCTCGTCACATAGAAGTTATACAACGGGCCCGAATTTATTCAGCATCGAGATGTCACGGCAATATTATTCAATGCCTTAGTTTTCTTCAAGTCCATTAGAAACGCGCTCTAATAGTTCAAGAGCTTAAAATGCAAGTCGATAATTCCAGAGTTTTGCGACTGAGCTCCACTCTTGAAACCTTTTCACACTTCTAAGCATTTGCATTCGATTTTTTGGACCGACGATCCGACGATCCATAGGTGAATACTTTTCCATTCATCCTATGAGAACAGAGAAAGTTAAAGTTTAAGAAACAGTATTTGAAAGTGAAAGAAACAGTAGTTAAGAAGTTTGTTGTTTCAAGTTCTGCATTTTCGGAGGGTTTCGCAATCAGTTGTTATTTTTGTGTAAGGATCGTAGAGAAATGCTACCCTCCAGGGTAGGCATACGAAGCGGCATCTTCCATACAATAGATTAAGGCGAGAAAGTTATGTTTCCAAAGATGAAAGTTTATTATAAAACTGTCAGAGAAATCTGCAAACTATGCTAATTATTCGGATATCGATGGTCCAGCTTGTTTGAATATTATACCATTTCAGGTAAGGGCGAAAGGGATTCTGGAATACGTATTACGGGTACTGGAACCATAGGTGGAAAAACCAAGAACGTGTTAAGCATACAAGTTGAGATAGATGGACTAGGAATAAGGATCCCTGGTGCTGAAGTGGGAGGAGGGAGAATAGAAGCAGGAGATGAAGCCAGTCTGGAAGCCAAGGAGCCAAGTACGTCCTAATTAATGTTCAATTTAATTGGTATTGCTAGTTTTCAGTGCACGCAATTCAAAATAGATCAAAATAAAAATCAAAACCGGTCAATAGATAAAGTCCAGAATCTGGGAAATGAAAGAAGGTAAATATGCAAAGAATCTCGCCAAAATTCTGGTCACAGCAATTTTTCTTATGCGAGACATGCGGAGAAATTTCTTACCCAAATTTATAGAGATTTGTATGGAGACGACATGCTGGTGCCCATCCGTACGGGCACCAACATGGCGGCCGGAAACCAACAGAAACATCTGTCACTGAGTTTTGCTACAAAAGCGTGAATTTATCCTTCGAGGAACTCTAAAACATTAAAACAATACTTTTTCTAAGACATGAACTGTTCAGATAGCTAAGTTCCCCGAAATAAGTCACTTTTTTAACTATCATGACAGCTCTCTAGGCCGTCATGTAAATGCCGCCAAAAGCTTGAAAATTTAAGCGTAGTGTATCACAAAACCAAGAACCATTTCGGAGCGAAAATTTGTATGAATATCAGTTTTCAGCTGCTCTTATACATCATTTAAGTAAACTCCCAGGACGATCAATAGTTTTGTAGTTCGAATTTTAGTGACGTCACGTGCAAACCATCGACTACTACGACGCTTTTAGGGTGTTTTAACCAAGGACTTGTTCAATAGAATCGATAGAATTCATACAAAGACTATGTTACTCAAAGTGATCGCGAAATTCGATCCGAGAATATGTTATTGAGGATTCCACAGTCGAGGACACTTGTACGATGCTGAATTTATAAGCCATTAATAACTACTTATTAACCGAGAGTGAGGTCTATCTCAGACCGAGACCTCGCCGTATTGACCTCGCTATCGCTCGGTCAATACGGCAAGGCCAAGGTTTTAGATTTTTCCGTAAACACCGAACGTTCGAGGTTAATAAGTAGTTTATTTTATGGCTCAACTTTGCTTGGTTTTTGCTGGTCTGTTATCGGCCCGTGGGCATTACGGGAGAATAATGCCCTAGTATTGGCCTATCAGGGCGCGCCTTATATCGGCTACAATCGCAAGTCACATAATGATAATGCATATAAGCTTCTACAAAAATGCCTCTCTGTAGATTTAAGCCTAATCTGGGACAGTACGGCTGACTGACTCAAAGCCTGTATGCCATAATTTAGCTCTCAAAAGAACCAAACGGGATAATGATTGAAAAAGACTTTTTCGTTTGGTAAATTTCCTGTTGAAAGTAACAATTTTAAAGACCAAATGATAGTTCTTGTAATTTTGCTTGGAAGAAAATTCCATAGTTTCGGTGTGAAAACACTCTTAAAAGAGCGGGATGATTATTATAGGAAGGCACATTAATTACGAAATACGAACTTTAAGCTGCAAGAGGGTCTGGAAGGGTATTCTCGGGATCCGGGATTTGACCAAAATACGGTGCGGGAATCGGGAAAACGATAAATATCTTGACGGGATCAGGGATTTGATTGCTCCCCGGGAAGCAGGACTCGCCAAAATTTGGACACGGGATGCGGGATTTTTTTTCGCTTGTCTGTCGGGAATTCGGGAAATCGTCATGACTCAAATAAACGTTCTAGCGGCCAAAGCGAATCAACCAGGTGAGCGCTAAGTGGTGTCTCCTTTCAAACCAAACTACAGCGTGTGCCTGGTTAATAGTTATCTAACTGAAACTGTCGGAGAGTATTTTGTTCCAATCAGATGCCAGAAAAGTGCACGTGGTGTAATAGCATACCAGTTATTCATTCGATGTTCAATTGGCTCAGTTGCTCAGGCTCTTCAGTCTCTTCACAGGTTCACATTTATAGTAATCTTGAGGAAATTTTTTCAACAGCTTAACCGCTAGATGGCCCCAGATATGGCAAATAGTGATACCAGCTCTGCTACAGTAAGAGTTTTGGTCTCGTATTATCTTGCGGCCACCGACGATACTTCTAGTTCAAGCGCCAGAACCTCGGCGATCCACAAAGAGAAATTAAATGTTCCGCTAAGCGGCGACGAACACAAAGACCTGTTCAACTTTGTGAAGCACTCAAAAACCTTCACTGGGTTAGCAGAAATCGCTGAGAGTAAATGCCTCGGAGAAAACCCGAGGTCATGATTGCTATAAGGTACAAAAAGCTACTTCTTTTCTGCAGGAGCCTTTAAAAAACACGCGTAAATTCAAAATATCAATCGAAAGGGCCAATCTACAGCTTAAATTTATTAGGTTCTGTGGAAATTAGACTTTTCAATGTATTTTTTCTGGGAAAGAAAAACGGGATTCGGGGTAGTGATGAAAAATGTGCGGGATGCGCGATTCTCGTGAAAAAGGAGCGGGAATGTGGAATCAGGATCCCCCCCCCCCCCCCCCCCCCCCCCCCCCCCCCCCCCCCCCCCCCCCCCCCCCCCCCCCCCCCCCCCCCCCCCCCCCCCCCCCCCCCCCCCC